ATTAAATGTAATATACCTCAACCACTGAAGGGTGATCTCGGGGAGTACTAGATTTTGCGTTGCCGTAGAGGTTGCTGTCTTCCTTAGCTCTAATTATTGCCTCTTTAAAATTCTCGTATTTTTCCTATTCAGAATAAAAAAAAAATTCATTATGTATAATTAAGCTTGACAGATATTGTTTTGTCCTATATAATAAAGTTTGAATTTTACTTTAAGGAGGTGGTTTAACAATTTAAAATTCAAACTTTTAATTAGATAAAAAAAGATTTATAAATAGAAAAGAGTAATTTTTTATATAATTTATAATTAAATATACTAAAAATAAAATTTAAATTATATTTTACAATTTCAACATTAAAATTATTTTTGTGTAAGTTTTATAAGGGGTTTAATTTGATTTTAATCTTAATTAAATACCTTAATGTTTTTCCTCTCTTTGAAGAACTCAGGACTTCGAAGGTCTTGATGAAGATCTTCATCACTTCCACCAAAGAAAGCCTTAGGACACCTTGTCTTGACATCGTATCTCCGGCAAAACGGCAACCACCACAGTGCGAACCTCCATGCTTCCTTCATACCTTGCAAAGTTATGGGAGACCCTCCATCATCTGAAAGATACACATGAAGCTTCTCCGGTGGATAGTCCAACGCCATAGCCGACAAAACTGTATTCATAACATCCACAGTCGGCTCCTTATCGGGATCCACCGTGCAAATAAACACATCAATACCCGGCAGCTTGTCATCACTCGGTAATCTCTCCGGGTACACGGTTCGGGAGACAAGACGCCAGCGGTAAGCTTGGCCAAGCGTCCACATTAAAGAGAGAAGGAATTCAGCGGCAAATACGAGAAGCCATGGAAGGATGGGGTTGGTTCTGGTAAAAAGAAAAGAAGCTCTGTAGAATATCAAGGAAGCAAGGGCTGTGAAGTGGAGGAGTGCATGGGATCTGTTGACTAGTATGGAGAAGGAGTGGACATGGCAGGTATGGAGAGGAAGAGGGAGAGGAAGAGAGTTTTCCATGGCTAGCTGGTTTTTCACTGACCTTTCTTAATTAGTTACTTATATGAGCTACGAATGCCTTTTCCCTTTTTATTTTTTATTTTTTTAAGTTAAATGTTAATTTTGATCCTTAACTTGAAGGTTTTACATAATTTTCATCTTTCAATTTTTTTTTTTTTGCACTCTTTTATCCCTTAACTATAAATTTTTTAATCTTTTGTCAATTAATTTGTTAAGTCTAAATGAATTTACATGTTTTTAGTTCATCAACTTTTAATATATGCATATTTTTAGTTCCTCAATTTTAAATTAACGGACTAAAAATGTGCAGATTTAGATTAACTTAACGGATTAACTAACAGAATGACTAAAAAATTATATTTTTCATAGTTAAGAGACTAAAAAAGTGTAAAAAAAAAGTTAAGAAATAAAATTATGTAAAATCTTAAGTTGAGGGATCAAAATTGACATTTAACCTTTTTTATATAATAGTCCATACTATTTTGAACCAACCGGCCCAGCTATGGTTGAGGTGATGAAAATTGTATTATAGTTGTTTTCAAATAATACAGTAATTTGTACATATTTTGATTTAATATATTGTATAATATATTTATTAAAAATTATTATTTTTTAATATAAAACTAAAAATAAATAACTTTAAAGATACAACTATATATACAGATATAAAAATTGATTGAATCAATTATATTTATATTATATTATTAATGATTAAAATAAAAATATATCAAAAAATATGTTAAACTAAGAATATACAAATCATTTTTTCTTAAATAAATAAATGCATATGTAATATTATGATTAAATTTTTAAACAAAAAATAGATAGTAATATGATATTATTGTAAATTTATAATAATAAATGATGTTATAAATATATTAGGTAAAAAGTTGTTACTTATTATTATTTTTATTAAGGCAAGTAGGTCGAAGGAGAAGGGTGAGAAGAGAGATGGAACCTTGTCACAATGAAGAAAAGGTTACGTTAAACCAACTACTGACTCAATAAGCCGGCATGCCTTCTTCAAAAATTGTTACTTATTACCTTTCTTAATTAGTTAATTAGTTAATTAGTTACTTATATCAGGTACGCCTGCTTTTTTTTTTCATTTTTATATGGTAGTCCAAACTCTTTTGGGCCAGCCAACCTGGCTAGCTATAATTGAGGTGTTGAAAATTATATTATGGTTGTTTTATATACATTGTTCTCATATATTATTTTTAATAAAAAAAATAAAACTTTAACAATAATTGAGTTATAATAGAACCAAATCTTTATACTTAATGGTTCGATCTTAAATTTTAAAGTATTTGGGTGAGATGATGAGGATTTTAAACTCTACCATTATTTTGAAAACTCCTTTCCCCATCCCCAAATTATATACTGTTCAAAAAAAATCTGAGTTATAATAATTTTCATGTAGAAGAGATCAAGCTTGCCTGCTATTTTCTACGAAATGTGAAACCCATAAATATGAAAAAGGCTTATTACATAGAAAAAATAGAGTTTGATTTCAATTTTAATAATTAAATAAATAAATAAATTTATATAAC